CGAGCCCCATGTTGGGCTCCACACTGACAGCACGGAGCCTGGTTGGGATTCTCTCTCTCTCTCTGTCTCTCTCTCTGCCCCTCCCCCACTCTCTAAAAATAGATAAATAAACATTAAAAAAAAATAAGGAGGCAGGACCAATGACCCATCTGAGGAGATGAAGTTGAAGGGCTTGAGTTACCTTGAAAGCATCTCAGAGACACCAAGAGAGAGAAGGACAGAGGGGGTGGAGAGTCCCCCAAAGGCTGGGTGATGGGGGGACAGAGAGAGATGGGGAGGAACCACGCTGACAGACCATGGCACTGAGTGGGGAAGACGGGGACACAGTGGACACGGGCTGGGAGAAGAGGGATGGAGAGAAGGAAACGCTGACGTTCGGGGTGACTGAAGGAGGAGGAAACGCAACAAGAAGAGAGCGGATAAAGATTCTTTGCTTTTTTTAAATTTTAGAGAGAGAGTGAGTATGAGCGGGGGAGGGGCAGAGGGAGAGAGAGAATTCCAAGTGGGCTCCACGCTCCGCACGGAGCCTGCCGTGGGGCTCGATCCCACAACCCCGGGATCATGACCTGAGTCAAAATCAAGAGTCGGGTGCTCAACCCAGTGAGCCTCCCAGGCGCCCCAAGAGGGGACAACGTTTCTGAGAAAGGGACAGGAAGGTGGTGTGCAATTAGATGGGGGAGAGGCAAACTAAGAACTGGGAAGCATGGAGTGTGGTCATCAGATGGACAGCTGGAGGCGGGTGGTATCTGGGTTTGGGAAGTGGAAAGAAAGTTAAAGATGGAAACCAATGGACACTCTGGAAAATTCCGAGAGGCGCAGTTGCTGAGAAGCACCCAGACAGGTGCGTCTGTCGCACGTCCCCAAGACGACTTTCATGTTTGGCGACTCACCAGAAGGGCTCACGGAATCCAGAAGAGCTGTTAGAATCACACTTGTGATTTATCAGAGCGAAAGGAGAGAGATTAACGTCAGCCGAGGGGAAAGGTGGGCACGCGGCCTCCAGGAGAGACCAGGTGTGAGCTTCCGGTTGTCTGTCCCCACGGAGTCGTATGGACAGCGCTCGCTTTTCCTAGCGAGGTCACGCGGCCGCCCACCTGGAGCCTTTGCCAACCAGGGAGGCTCCCCTGAGCCTTGGTGTCCAGGGTTTTTGTTGGAAGGGGTCAGTTACAGGAGCATGGAGACCCCGGGGGCATTTTTCTGCCTCTCCCACCGAACAGTGGAATACAGCTTTGCAAGAAAAAGGAATTGGATACGGAACATTACACCATGTGAAAGACACCGGGCGAGAGAAATCACCGCCTACCTTACCCTTCCACTTACGCGAAATTCTAGGAAATTCAAACCGATCTGTTACACAGAAGGCAGATCAGTGGTTTCCTGAGGGCAGAGGGTAGAGGGAGGGCTAGATTACAAAGAACCGCAAAGAACCTTCTGGGCACTATGGAAATGTTTGTTAACTTGCTTGTGGCGGGGGTGTCACCTTCCTACCTCGTTCTTGATACGTGCTATGTGTGGCACATCGATTATACTTTATTAAAGTCGTGAAAAATAGCACATAGGAACTCAGTGGTACACGTACTGGATTTAACAGGAGACTAGGTGTCTTCAGTTTGGCATCCTTAGCTTCACTCAGTTGCCACAAGCATTATAGTCATTTCAAAAGCTTTATTATGGGGGCCCCTGGGCGGCTCAGTCGGTTGAGCGTCCGACTTCGGCTCAGGTCAAGGAGCTCATTGCTCGTGAGGTTCGAGCCCCGCGTCGGGCTCTCTGCTCACCGCTCGGAGCCTGGAGCCTGCCTCGGGTTCTGTCTCTATCTCTCTGCCCCTCCCCTGCTCGCTGTCTCTCAAATACAAAATAAAACATAAAAAAAAATTTAAGATTTTCTTTGTCTCCCTCTGCCCTTCTCCCCCACTCACACACTCTCTCTCTTAAAAAAATAAGAATAATAAAAAGCTTTATTCTACTAAGGCGTTTCCCATTCGGTCATGATATTTTGACAATAACCCTGCGCACTAAACATTCTTCCCCTCGTTTTACAGAAGTGGATGGGATGGGGGAGGAGAGGTCAGAAACATGGCCAGTCACATACAAAGGTTTATCTGACAGCAAAGACCTCCATGAATTCTGAATTCTTCAAAAAAATTTTATTATTATTTTTTATTTGGTTTTAACGTTTCTTTATTTTTGAGAGAGAGAGAGAGAGAGAGAGACAGAGACAGAGCAGGAGTGGGGGAGGGGCAGAGAGAGAGGGAGACCCAGAATCCAAAGCAGGCTCCAGGCTCCGAGCGGTCAGCCCAGAGCCCGACGCGGGGCTTGAACCCATGAACCATGAGCTCACGACCCGAGCCAAAGTCAGATGCTCAACCGACTGAGCCGGCCAGGTGCCCCTCGAACTGTTACTTATATCCATAGACCTTAATTTTTCCTTAGGGTTTCCCTCTCTGTCCCACATGGAGGCCTTTGGGGACAGTATTTTCAGCTCGCTCACTCATTCTTTAGCTGTATCCATTCGGCCATTCGACTCACCTATTAAGTTCTTTATTTCGGTAATTATATCGTTCATGTCCCTTGTCTCGGGTTATGTTCTACTTCATAACTTCCTCTTCTTGCTTCAGATTTTCAATATCCTCTCTTGGTTCTCCACGGATATTTAGGATGCTTGCTTTACATGCCTTATTAGCTCCACTTCATTGGGTAGAGTTTCTTCCAAGCCAGACCGACAGGTTGGAGCCTCCTGGGGATGCCGACAATTTTGCGCTTCAGAAAAGGTAACAATTCAGTGCTCTTTAAACTTGACGGTTTTACACTAGTTTTCTTTGAGCATTGATTTAGAGGTGAGGCAGAGAAACTGATTTCTGTTCGTCAGAAAAAAAACCAAAAAAAAAAAA